CAGGGGAGAGGATGGTGGGGGGAAGGGGGGGGGGGAGGGGGATGTTTGCGGTCCAAATGATAAGAGTTCATCCCCACACAGCTACCTCCTCATGTATCCCTTCTCCCTCCCTTTTAGATTGTAAGCCCTCACGGGCAGGGCCCTCCTTACCATCTTGTCTTGAATTGTATTGTGATTGTAATGTCTTCCTTATATTGTAAAGCGCTGCGCAAACTGTTGGCGCTGTAAAAATCCTGTATAATAATAATAAGAGCAGTCTAGGGTGACAACACTGCTCCTCCATAAATACAGTACAGTGAGTGAGCGTTGTCACCCTACGACAGGAAGTCACTGGCAGGATCAATGGTTTGAAAATAAAGGAAAAATGGCTGAAAAGAGAAAACTAAGGCAGCAACCACATCTAAGGACTGGAATAAGCTGCAATATATGGCATTTTTGGCTTTTCGATTAAAATACACCCAAATAAATTCTTGTCCCATCAAAGGCTTGCAACGATTACCCTTTTACCCTTTAGGCCCCGTTCACACTTTGGCGTACCGTGAACGTGCACTAAAGTGAGTCATGCCCGTGCACTGGCGCGCATTCAAGCAACGTGTCAAAAAACGTGCATCGAGCTTGCGGTGCCATTACATGCTAGTAGGACTCCAAACATGGCCGGTAAAATGCTTGTTTTCCCCGCACGTGGGCGCGCAATCAAATGCGTGGTCAAAAAAACATAGGAAGCTCGTAGCTGAAAATGCTGCATGAGCCTCTTTGCCATGTTTATTGCGCGTATATTGTGTTTATTGCGCCCATTGAAATGCAAATGCGCACAGAAAATGTGCAAATGCGCGTTCATGTATCGCGAACCAGGTCTTAGGCCCCAATTACACTGGAGTGGAGCACCTTCGGGCATTTCAGAATTTTAAATTTTTTTTAAAGAGGTTTGTACTGGCATTTTGCACGCTATTTAAAGCCTCTGCTCTCCAGCCACAGCGCCTCCCTAGCAACTTGTAGTCCGCAGGGTCCCCCTGCTCCTATAGAGCCTAATGGAGCAGCTGCCCTGCCAGGACTACGTCTCCCAGAATCCCCTGGGCTCCAGGCATCTCCCTTTGCATGTCTATTGGCCTGCTGTCCTGAGGAATGATGTCATGATAAGAAAAGCAGGGAGAACTCCAGTGCCTTTTATTGTGCATGGAGCCTGTGCAGAGGACGCCTGCTGCTGCTGCTGCTGCTGCTACTGCCGCTTGCATCCATCCCCAGCCCACAGATGAGCTGCTGATCACAGCCGCACACACCCCATTCTATTGTATGCACCCTTCTCAAGGTAAGCCATGCATGGCTGTTTTATTTGATGTATTTCTATATTTGATGGCTTGCATCGACGCAAAGTTGTCCTGCGAATCGGCTGTGCAGAGATCCCTGTCAAGGGCTAAGGACCGCCGGCCACTGGGATGCTTGGCAACTTAATTCTACTGTCAGCTGGCTGGTCCCTCTGCAATGCTGTGTATGTGTATGGTCGCATATTCCTGGCTGCGGAATCAACGCCAGGCAGCTGGGAATCCTGAGTAGCTTCAACATCTGGATATGCAACTTTTCAGCAATTTTATTTGAACAATGTTGCAATCATTTCTTCTCATTGTTATTATTATTATGAATACTATTTATAAATATCAAATATGGCAACAATAATAACAATAATCTAACACGTAGCAAGGTGCAGGTAGTACTTGTCAACCGTGGCCGTGTATTGCTGTGGTCAACTTTTCAGCAATTCTATTTGAACAATGCTGCAATCACTTCCTATTATTATTATTATTAATATTATTATTATTATTTATACTATAAATATGGCAACAATAATAATGAGAATCTAACACGTAGGAAGGTGTAGGTGGGTTGGAGTCTCTAACCGTCGATGGAAATTGTCTTTGGTTTTACACATTGGTCAACTTTTCAGCAATTTTATTTGAACAATGTTGCAATCATTTCTTGCCACTATTATTATTATTATTATTATTATGAACACTATTTCTAAATATTAAATATGGCTGGCAACAATAATGACAATAATCTAACACGTAGCAAGGTGCAGGTAGTACTTGCCAACCGTGGCCGTGTATTGCTGTGGTCAACTTTTCAGCAATTCTATTTGAACAATGTTGCAATCACTTCCTACTATTATTATTATTGATATTATTTTGAATACTATTAAATATGGCAACAATAATAACCATAATCTAACACGTAGGAAGGTGTAGGGTGGTTGGAGTCTCTAACCGGACCTGCAAATTGTCCTTGGGTTTACACGTTACAATAATTTCTTACAGTTGTTAATAATATTGATACTGTTTATGAATAATAAAAATGACTCCAAATAAAATAATCTATTATGAGAGGGTGTAGGTTGGTTGTAGCTTCTGACTGTGCCTGAAATTTTGTCCTTGGTATTGTACGTTGGACAAGTTTACAGTTTTTTTTATTTTTTTATAGTATTAGAATAATTTCCTACCATTGTTATTATTATTCATTCTATCTATGAATAATAATACTGATGATAATCGTAGTGATTACAACAACAATAATAAACTAATACATAATGGGTGTAAGTTGGTTGTAGTTTCTGACTGTGCCTGACTTGGTTCTGCACCTTGGTCATTTTTAGTTTTTTTTTTGCATGGTAGGGGTGTGTCCATTGCCTATATATAACTGGGGGCATGGCAGGGGTGTGTCCAATGCCTATATATAAATGGGGGCATGGTAGGAGGTGTGTCCACTGCCTATATATAATTGGGGGCATGGCAGGGGTGTGTCCATTGCCTATATATAACTGGGGGCATGGCAGGGGTGTGTCCATTGCCTATATATAACTGGGGGCATGGCAGGGGTGTGTCCATTGCCTATATATAACTGGGGGCATGGCAGGGGTGTGTCCATTGCCTATATATAACTGGGGGCATGGCAGGGGTGTGTCCATTGCCTATATATAAGTGGGGACATGGCAGGGGGTTTATCCATTGCCTATATATAACTGGGATAGAGCTTGGGGGTGTCCATTGCCTATATATAACTAGGAGTGCGGGAGAGGTGTGTACATTGCCTATATATACTTGGGGACATGGTAGGGGGTTTATCCATTGCCTATATATAACTGGGGCAGAGTGGGGATGTGCCCATTGCCTATACTGTATATAACTGGGGCAGAATGGGGGGGGGGGCAATTGCCTATAAATAACCAGGAGGGCATGGCAGCGGGTGCGTCCATTGCCTATATAAAACTGGGGGCAGAATGGGGGTGTGTCCATTGGCTATATATAACTAGGAGTGCGGGAGAGGTGTGTCCATTGCCTATATATAACTAGGAGTGCGGGAGAGGTGTGTCCATTGCCTATATATAACTAGGAGTGCGGGAGAGGTGTGTCCATTTCCTATATATAACTAGGAGTGCGGGAGAGGTGTGTCCATTGCCTATATATATCTGGGGGGGCGTGACAGGGGGTGTGTCCTTTGCCTTTATCCTTTGAGCTAAAAGGTGTCCTGCTGTTCCATCGCAGAAAGTAGGCAGTTGTGCTCATGCCATGGGACTGCGATATATCCAGGAGGGTCATGAGATGAAGTTTGGATACACGGCTGCTGTAGAAATTGATCCTGAAAAATATTGCAACACTTTGTATTGGAATTGATGAGCTCAGGCACGGTGATGACGGTGATACCTTTTTTATGGGGTGTGATGTGGTCTACCTCGCTTGGTATGGTTTTATAGGTTTGGGGACAATCTGGTTTTATCTCCAGCGACGGTCATTAACGTGGACCTTTATCTAAATTCACGAGACTACCTAAAGAAATGTCACAATATACAGCAACAGTATCATAAAAAAAATATTTTATCACTCTTTGGATTAGTTATGCTAATGCCTTGATGGGTGGATGTCAGTCTGGAGGAGTGAGCATTCCTAGGTAGGCCGAATTTACACGCCCACATATGATGCTGAGTCTCCAAGATTGAAAGAACCACTCCAATGAATGAAAGGGGCGGGGCCAGGGACAGTCAGGCTGGGGAGCAAAGCCCTAGATGATGGCAGACGTCCTCCAGCCAGAAAATGAGGCGGGCTCTATCTGACTTGCTGCAGATTCTAATGCACATTGCAGTGCAGTGATATCAGAGGAAGCCATTTCAGTCCAGGAGAGGAGCCGGTACATCTGTGCAAGACTGAAGGGAAGGCCGGGGGTCAGATATAAGACTGAAGGGGAGGCCGGAGATCAGAAGACTGAAGGGAAGGATGGAGGTCAGATATAAGACTGAAGGGAAGGCTGGAGGTCAGATAGAAGACTGAAGGGAAGGCCGGAGGTCAGCTATAAGACGGAAGGGAAGGCAGGAGGTCAGATATGAGACTGAAGGGGAGGCCAGAGGTCAGATATAAGATGGAAGGGAAGGCCGGAGGTCCGAAGACTGAAGGGAAGGCCGTAGGTCAGATATAAGACTGAAGGGAAGGACGGAGGTCAGATAGAAGACTGAAGGGAAGGACAGAGGTCAGATATAAGACGGAAGGGAAGGCCGGAGGTCAGATGGAAGACTGAAGGGGAGGCCGGAGCTCGGCTTTAACTAATACTAACATTAGGGGGACCCGTCATCATTTTCTATGGCGGCTTTCTTGTTACATTCTCGCGCTCTCTCTCTGAGACCCGGGAAGACTTCGGGTGCCCTGTGGCCGCTGTCATTTTTCGTCCGTGGAAATGAAGTTGTTTTGGATTGGGCCGGTTCACACGCTCTCCAGTGTGTTCCAACACAGTTAAGGCCGTGACACACTGCACGAGAAGCAGCGCAGAGCGGGGGCGCGCTGCCTTTGCGAGCAGTGTGTCATGTAATTTTCTGCTCGGCACCTCAGCTTGCGAGGTGCCGAGCAGAAATCGGCTCGCGCGTATAA